TCCTTTACTATGAAGGTGAAGTAAGATTTCAGAGACTGTCTCGGTTACATCTATGCCTAATGGAACATCTGGACTATCTCATGTTTGTTGGGTTCAATATTGTGCTAATATGTTGTATTCAAGTTGTTTCTCTCATTTTGTAATAGTTAGTGTTGATGCTTTTTTATTATAAATAAGTTTTTAGAAGCTTAATTGTAATTAGTCTTGCTAATCACTTTGTAATTCTCTCTCAAGAAATATACATTCAAGCCTTGGTGAAATTCTCTCTCTTCTATCAATTTCTACTTTGAAGATTATCTGATTTGATTGATAATTGGGATTCACAATTGGTATCAGAGCATAGGAGCAGCAATTTTTTTGAAGGATTACACGATTTTCAAGGAATTTCGCACAATTTTCTGGATTTGTATTACTGTTCATCGCTGAGTTCTTCGTGTTCTTGACCGGATTTCAATTTTTCTACTCTAATCTCGTCATTTTTGAGTGTTAATTGTTAAAATTTGGTTTACGAAGATCGCGATTACATTATGAACATCTATGATTCACACTGTTTTGCATTTTAATCATTGATTTTGAGCCATTTTTGACAGATTTTTTAGTTTACAAAAATTTCTGTTTCTTCAAAAAGTTCAGAACTTTTCGAGTTTTGATCCAAAATTTTGGTGAAAAGTTGTTAAAATTATGTTTTTGATTGAAGGTAAATCGTATAACTCTTTGACCGATATAGGATAAATCGTATACCTCTTTGTGCGATTTGTGATTTAGAGAATTCGTGATTTTTGTGTGCGATTTAGTGGTAATCCGGGTAACACTGCGTGCGATTTATGTGACTACTCTGCATTGTGGGATTTCCGGTTAGTACTTTATTTCAAAATCTTTATTTAGAACTAAGTCTTTCCTGGATTTAGCTTCGATAATTAGAGATAATCTTGTTTAATTCCTAAGATTAGTTCGTTAGATCGCATCTCGGCGGGTAGCTAACAAAGCTAGTTTATGCAATGCCAAATAGTGTTGAAGTATTTCACATAAAATAAAGCCGATAATTCGTAGTCAAGAAAAGGTATGTTTAAAGTTATTTACTTCTCTTTTTGATGTCTGAAATCTTTATCTTCCTCCCTACTCGACTTTTTGGCTATATTCGGGATTTAAAGAAGAAGTGATTATTCATCAAAGACCCACCTGTGTCTTCGTTGGGGACGATAACCTGTGACCCAAGTTCTTTAAATCTCCAAGAAAGAAAGAGAAATTCCTTGCATGAGAGGTCTGATCACATTTTCGGATGATAGGTCTTGCATGCAACTCTAATCGGATTTATCCCTTTGAAAACTTGTTGAAATCGGAACTTACTTTATTTTCTGGAAGTTGTWTGTTGATGATGGTTTTGTGTTAGATTTTTAATTCTTGGAAATTTTAAGCTGCATGCAATCAGTGTTGAAGGCGTGTGGCTCAAGAATTGTGGATTAYTCTTGAAAAGAGTGTTAAAYCCACTCAAAATCTCTTGGTTTTGGTAATTSGCGGTTGCCATCATTTGTTTTGGGATGACATTTAATGATGTCATTACTTGGATTTTTGGAAGGTTCCTTTTTAATAAATAATTAAATCAACTTTATTTTGTAAAAACACTTGGTGGCTTTGCATTTAGATCAACCTTGCTTAGCCAAGGAAAACCATTAAGTTAATATAGTGCTGGTTGGTCTGTCAGGAGGTTCGAGCAAGCATAACAAGTCCCTAGAGGAAATACACGGATATTCGCCAAACTTGTGAGTTTTCACGGCCTCACTTTTAATGCTTTTTATATGTTTTATGGGGGAAGAGCATGATATTGAGCAAACATTGCATGTTTATGTTTTATAATACTTGTGAGTAAAGAACTGTTTAGTCGATGCATTAATTGGAACTTCTTGGGCTAAGGAACTGCTTAGTCAAGTTTTACTTGGAACCTCTTGGGCTAAAGGAACTGCTTAGTCGGGTTCATTATGTTTGGTTTTGACAACTGTTTCTGCACTTAGAATAAATGATAAATTGATGCGCTTGAGAGTATATGTTTCCAAATAAAAGTCCCCGTCCGTACACTCTACTTGTTAACTCGGGTACATTCCTGGGCCGTGGTATTGTGGATAGCCGCTATTGTGTTGACAGTCCCACCCAGAAAGGGGTGCACAATTACCTATGTTTTCTAGCCTAATCATGTGGAATTTGGACCACCGCTGAATTAGTGCTTTATCGAACCGTGGGACCTAAGTAGTGAACGGGC